CTGTAGGTGATCTGGAAGTCTGGTTTTGAGACTTATTTATGTGTTTTCTCATTTCAGCTGGGGTGGGGGCTGTTGGCACCTGAACAGATTACCTCCTCTGAGCTGGGAGAGGTGGGACAGGGGCCGGGAGCAACAGTAGGAATGCTGGCCCAAAAGCCCTTTCCTGTGGGCTGGGAGCAGCGGAAGGGATGGTGGCCAGGAAGCCCCTTCCTCTGGTCCAGGAGCAGTGGGATGGTGGCTCAGAAGCCCCTACCTCTGGGCCGGGAGCAGTGGGAGGCATGGTGGCCCAGAAGCCCCTTCCTCTGGGCCAGGAGCGGCGGGACAGAAGGTTGCCCAAAAGCCCTTTCCTCTGGGCTGGGAGCAGCAGGAGGGGTGGTGGCTGGAGAGCCCCTTCCTCTGGATCAGGAGCAGTGGGACGGCGGCTCAGAAGCCACTACCTCTGGGCCGAGAGCAGCGGGACTCAGTACCATGGTCTGGTGGTCCAGTGTCCTCTGTGTCTTTGTAGTGTGGAACCAGGTGGCTGTACAGAGGAGTGGGGGGGGTCTAGTAGATTGTTGCCGGGGGGGGGGCTGATTTGGCGTGTTCTGCGGGACTCCAGACGTCGGTAGGGCGTGTGCAGACCTGCCTGTCTGCAGCGGGCTGGTTCGGCCACCTCCCTTCTTCTTCCATCTCTTAGTCCTCTTCCCTTTTGCAGAAGTTTTATCTCCCTGTTTCCTATTGTATATCTTTGATTTTGCTCTTTATTTATATTTTGAGTTTCTCATAAAGAGAAACTGTGTAATATTTAAATTTGTGTGTCTGATTTATTTCACTTAACATTATGGTCCCAAAGTGCATCTATTTTCCTACAAATGATTCAAGTTTATCCTTTTTATGGCAGAATAGTACTCCATTATATATAAATACCACACTTTCTTTATCCATTCATTTGTTGATGGACATATACAGCCACTTGTAAGATTTAGATACTATGCATTGTGCTGCTACCAACATGAGTATGCAAGTGCCACTGTAATATGATGTCTGTCTTTCTGGTTAATACCTAGAAGAGAATAGCTGGGTCAAATGGAATTTCTAGTTTTAGTTTTTTGAGGAATCTCCATACTGATTTCCATAATAGTGGTAGTAGTTTACAGCCCCATGAACATGTAGACGGGTTTCCTTTCACCACAGCCTTGTAAACATTTGTTTTCATTTGATTTCTTGATGATAGGCATTCTTTCTGGATTAAGATAAAATCTCAGTGTGTTTTGTTTTGTTTTGTGGTACCAGGGATTGAACTCGGGTTCTTGTGCTTGCAGGGAAGGCAGCAGAAACACTGAGCTAAATCCCCAGCCCCAGTGTTTTTTTTTTAATTTATATTTCTCTAATGGTCAGTGATGTTAAACATTTTTATGTATTTATTAGTCATTTGTACTTCTTCTGAGAAGCGTCTGTTCATTTCAGTTGCCCATTTTTATTGGGTCTTTTATTTTGAGCAGTCTACTTTTTCTTGAGTTCTTTATCTATTCTAGATATTAGTTCTCTTTCTGAGGAATACCTTGCAAAAAATTTTTCCCATTCTGTAGGTTGTCTCTTCACTTAGTTGGTTGCTTCTTTTGCTGTGAGCTTTTTAATTTGATATGATCCCATTTGTTGATTCTGGACGTTATTTCTTGTGCAACTGAGATTCTGTTCATGAAGTCTGGGTATGCTTATGTCTTCAAGAGTTTTATCTATTTTAAATCTTCCAGCAGGTTATTTCTGTTTTAACATTTAGATTTTTTATCCATTTTGATTTTAGTTTACTGCCTGGTGAGAGAAATGGATCTAGATTCAATCTTCTGCGTGTGATTAGCTAATTTTCCCAGCACCATTTGTCAAAGAAGTGATCTTTCTTCCAGCATATGTTTTTGGTCTCTCAGGGCTTTTAAAGAGTTAAAGTCACAACAGCCTGAAGAAGCCATTAAAGTTACTAAGTGATTCAAAAATAATTATGTGCATGGTAGGATATGAAGGCAACTGAGACAACAGTGCTGCTGTTCATTACTGTTATTATAGTCCATCAAAATGGCCTATGAAGTGTTCTGTCATGTTTTTGTATATCTCAGAAATAAATCCCCTTTTAAAATATAAATAAATGTCTTTTAATGAGTTTTAAAATTTTTTTCAAGAATTTTATTTTCAGAATTTTGATTTTAAGGATTTTAGGCTTTCAGGGACTTTGATATTTTGGGATTATGGCCCAATCCCTGCAAGCAAGAGAGGGAGGAGGTGGGTTAGCTGAGTCCATCTGAGACCTGTCCTTCTGTAGCATCCTTGCTGATCTGTACTCTTTAGCCTTTTTATTCATTTTCCTCCTTAATAAATCTGTATTTTCATATTCTAAATTATACCATCGATTATGATGGAGCAAAGAAGTCCTGGTAGCTCAAGCACTGGGAACTATTCATGGCTAGATTAAGATCTCTGTGATCAAAGGAAATGATTTATTACTTGCCAGACTACAGTGTCTTTCCCACAGTATATATTCAAAAATAAGTATTTATGGCATTCTGTTTCTTTCTTTTATAAACACATACCATATTGGTGCTTTCAGAACATTTTTACATGTAAATAGTCAGTTAGTGAAATCCTGAATATCTGAGGCATATATCCAGTTCTCCTAAGACCTGCCCACATGCACAGAGACTTGGCAGTCCTTGGGCATCTAAGTTTGGAATCCAGATCTGAAAAGGAAGGCTGAAAGGCCTCCCACTCAAGCCACTGCATCAGGGCCTTATTTAAGAGTGCTGCTGCCCTATAGGATGGCAACGCTTGCTTCAGCTTCAGAAAAATGAGTCTTCCCTGGCTCAGACCACTGGAGAGACAGTTGCCAGACCAAAACAAAGCCAAGCCTCCTCCATTCAGTTCACATTATTGTAACTCAGTTTCCTCATCTTTGAAATGGGAATAATGGTCCTTCATAGAATGTTGTTGGAATTAAAGGGGATAATATGATGCTGATGAGAATGGTAATTACAGTAATTAACTTTTATCAAGCACTAAATGCGTATCAGCGCTTGGCAAGCAGTCCCATGTAATCCCCACAATGAGGTCTTATTGTTATGCCCAGTTTAGAGATGAGGAAACTACTAATGGAAAGAGGTTGCAAAGTGCTAGCGTAGTGATTCACATATAGCAGCTGCTCAGTAAATGTCAGTTTTCAACTTATGGGACTGGAAGAATGTTTTGCTATTTTCAAAGGCATTTTCCTAACAGAAAACTGCCACGTCCTCCTCTGCTTCTGTATGGATAGAGTTCCTAATTGCAATTCCAAATTTTAACACCTTTGTTGTCTTTGTTCCTCTTGGAAGCATTTCACTTTACCTGAGTAGGGTGGAGATGACTATTGTCTAAAAATTCATTGCCCTTTTCTAAAGTCATAGAGTCACTGCAACTAGAAACTTAATTCCCAGCCTCCCTTGCAGTTAAGTTCTCCATAGGCCTTTGCCGATGGGATGTAAGCAGATGAGATAGTCTACTGCTGAGGTCTGTCTCTCCTCTTATTCTTTCTCCCCACTTTTTCCAGCTGAAGCCCAAACAGGCAGTGACTCAGCTTTAACTATTAAACAACAAAGCTGTAGGCCACAAACTATGGCCCATGGCCAAATCTGGCATGCCATCTGTGCCTATAAATAAAGTTTTATTGCACCACACCCATTCATTTATGTATTTTCTATGAAGTCTTCCATGCTATAATAAAAGAGTTGAGTAGCTATAACAGAGACTGTATGACCCAAAAAGTCTTCATAGAAAAAGTTTGCTAACCTCTGCTCCAGGGAAAACTACCAAAAGATGAAAGATGACCTAGATCCCTTGAATTTCTTTCCCCATAGACTATTTAGAAGTATATTGTTTAATTCTAAAGCAACTGTGGACTTTCTAGTTATTCTTTGCTATTGGTTTCTATAGCATTGCATTGTAGCCAGAGAACATAACGTGAATGATTTCAATCATTTGGGCATTTTTGTAGCCCAAGACAGTCCATTTTGGTGAGTGCTTCACAGGCACTTGAAAAGAATATGAAATCTGTGACCCCATTTTTAAAGGCTGCTTTTCATTCTGTGGTTATAAATAACTATTCCTATCATTGTTTGCTGGTAGAAAGCAATTTATCAACCTTTTGTTTCTCTGAACACAGTCCCAACAAAAGTAGATGGAACCAATGTTGAAAGCCACAAGGAACACATTAACTCCTAAATGATCACAATATTTCATTCTGTTTTTATGTTGGAAAGGAAAAACAGTTCCTACTAAACATCTTATTACTTTTCAGTGAGCTCCCTGAACACAGTACAGAAGTTACACTGACTCCAGAAATGATCCAAGCGGAATTCTTTATGTTGGACCACAAGGACACCAAGAAGTAAGTAGATGCTCTTATGCCTTATTAAGAGGCAGCATTGGATAAATGTGTCCTACATGAAGTTCAAAACTATCATTTTATCTGAATCTAAATATCTCAAGTTTTGAAAGAGCCACATTTCCAATGCTTCATATACTTATATGTATATTCTATTTTATGAACAATTAGCTCCTTCTGATGTTGGCAGGTAAATATTTAAAATCCAGATCCAGGCTTTTATTTCACAGAGAGTTTTATTTCTTATTAATAGCTGACTAAGCTTCGTGCAATGTAATGAATCCAGACTCTAGACCAACGATCATACGTGAGGCTGAATCCTAACTCTCCCATTTATCACATCTGATATCTTTAGCCAAGTTAGATAACTTCTCTGGGCCTCAGTTTCTTAATCTGTACCACACAGAAAATAAAATTTCTTTCACAGAGAATTTGTGAGGATTGAATGAGCTGCCAAATGTGGAAAGTATTTTTTCCTTCTCCACTCTGTCATGTGGCTAATTAGCCAAGATAACATCATCCTTTCAAAAATTAGTTTGGGAGAATATTTCTGTGATATAAACAACAATCTATAGTTCATATAGTTTATAAGTTTAAAATTCCATGTATCTTTTTTTATTCTTTTATGTTTAAAATTGCTTTTTTCAAAAAAATGAGAAAATATTTAAGAACAGTAATCTTACCATCTAGAGTAACTTAAAATTATTTCACATTATACATACTGTTTTGATCTTTTCACTTTAACAATATATCATGAACATATACTTATAAAGATAGATGTGCATCATTATATTTTATTGAGTACATGTACCATAATTTATTTAACCAACTCCTTAAAGATGAGCATTTCAGCAATTTTCTGTTTTGCTGTATCAATAGTGTTGCAACAAATATCTTTGTACTGTAATTCCTTGAAAACTTATCAGGCTGGGGATTTAGCTCAATGGTTCCACTGCCTGCTGCACAAGCGCAAGGACCTGAGTTTGATCCCCAGTACAAAAACAAAAAAAGAAAAAGAAAAGAAAACTTATTAGAACATTTCCTTATGATAAATTCTTGGAAACATAAATGCTAGCTTAATGTGCATTTTAAGGTGCTTAATTACTATCCACAAACTACATCAAAATATCCCTCTCAGGACCAGGGATTTAGCTCAGTGGTGCTGCCACCTGCCTCGAAAGAGCAAGGTCCCGAGTTCGATCCCTGGTACCAAAAAAAAAAAATCCCCCCCAGCAGAAGTCAGAACTGCCTGTACTCAAATGCCCTCAACAACATGGAATACTTTTTAATCTTTGAAATTTTTAAAAGACCATCTGTTGATTTAATTTCTTTGCTTTAAAATTTCTCTTTTGCCTATCAATTAGTTTTTCTTTATTTATGAGAAGTTTACTTTGCCTGTGTTTCTTATGTCAGAGTCCCCATTCAGGTTAATACCTTTGCTTTATAAGCCATAGATGTGTTTCCTTAGTTTGTTCTCTGTTTTGTTTAGAGGAGTTTTTAAGGGTCTGGAGTTCCAAAAGCATGCTCGCCTGTCTCAGAGCAGTACTGGGTTTCTCTGGTTTGTTTGTGATCGTTTCAGGGGCCTGCAACAACTGCCATTTCTTGGAAAATAGATTGGCAGCTTCTGGTAAAAGAAAATTTAGGAAATAAACATTTTAAATAGAATTTCAGCATCTGTTTTGATGAGTTAACTCAATAAAATATCATAATACACTGCTCAGCACATAAAACCTCTAGTACCTAGACAAAAGGGCACTGTATTTTGTTTCGAGTTTCAAATAGTTGACAAAGGATTTTAAATAAGAACTGTTTTCTTCTATTTCAAAAATTGCCCACAGATCTAAAATGGCTAGGTAACAGCCAAATATCTTTGTGTTTGTACTTAATGTGGTTTTTCACCCTTTATACTACAGAGCTAATGTTAAATGATATTTGATTATAAAATTATTATTAACTGAAGTAGAAGTTATTATTTATATATACACCCAAAGTATTACTCTTGTTTTCTTTTATATATATTTCACATACTTGCCAAAAAATAAACTAACAATGAACTCTGAACATGTTTTGCATATCCAATAAGCTTCGTTTTTATACCATATATACATATATATAATTTACACATTTGCAATAAAGGTTTCTATAGTATCTTGAACTCCTCTTTTGCAGTTAAAAATATTTTATGTACATGTTTCATATGTCAAACTTATCAACATGATTATCATCTTACTGGCTATATAGTATCCTAATAAGATGATATCCCAGAGACTATTTTGAAAGATTTTTTTTGGTTCTGAAATTCTCTTCAGCTCATACCAAGCATTGTCCTATGCCCAGTTTTTTCTTCTCGGTCCTTCCTGCTTTGTCTTCCCTACACCCTTCTGTTGCCAATCATCCTAGGGTTCTTCTGCTGGGTTCTTCAGATGGAAATTGTGAATCAGCAAAGTACAGTGCTATGAGCAGTTCTGATGTTACCAGATGATACCAGGTAATACTGAATGCCAACAGCTGACACAGCCAGCTGCTGGTCGCTGCTGCCACCAGCTGTCACTGTCCAGTGCTGGCTTGTGCTGCGTACCATAGATCAACTCTACTGAGTGCTGGTCTCTGCTGCTGCTGGCCACCACCTGCTGAGGCTGGCTTGTGTCGTACACTGTAGGTTGACTCTACCAGGTGCCAGTCTCTGCCACTGGTCTTTGTTGGCTGCTGGTCACTGGAGCTCTTCAGTGTTAACAGCTCTGACTGTTTATTGCTCTTTCTTTTGAGATGAGAGCTCTGTCCACACTACTCTGGATAAGAATCCCAAATAAATCTACAGGACTTTTGGAAATCCCAAGAAAATATCCAAGAAATAAATCATGGGCAGGTTTATAGGACCACAAAAGTGAGTCTTTATTTTAACAGAGACTGTGCTGCAGCACAGGGGGGTCAGTGCACAGGGGGGTCAGTACACAGGGGGCAGCCCTTCTAGACTAAAACCCAAGGAATGACTGGGGAGTGCTATTTATATAGCAGCTGCAGGCACGTTTCAGTGAAGGGCAGGGCTGAAAGGTGTGTTAATTTTATATCCTGATACATTACTGAATTTGGTTATTACTTCTAAGTGTCTTTTAGTGGCTATTTTGGGTCTATGTACAAGATCATGTCACCTGCAAATAATGATAATTTGACTTTTTTTTTTCATATATATATCCCTTTTATTTCTTTTCTTGCCCAATTGCTCTTCCCAACATTTTAAGTACTATGTTGAACAGGAGTGGTGATAGTGGACACTCTGGTCTTGTTCCTAAGTTAGAAGGAAAAGCTTTCAGTTTTTCCTCATTTAATATGATGTTGGCAGTAGGTTTGTCATAAATGCATTTTACCAGATTGAGATAAGATCCTTCCATGCCTATTTTTTTACTGTTTTTATCATGAATCGATGTTGGATTTTGCCAGAGGCTTTTTCTACATCTACTGAAATGATCATATGATTTTTGTCCTTCCTTCTCTTTTTGTGATGTATTACATTTATTGATTTGTGTATGTTAAACCATCCTTGTATCCCTGCGATGAAGCCTACTTGGTCATGATGTGTTGTTGTTTTAATGATTTGTTGCATTGTGTTTGCCAGTATCTTGTTGAAGATTTTTGCGTCTATTTCATAAAGAGATTGGTCTACAGCTCTCTTTTTTAGCTAGATCCTTGTCTAATTTTGGAATCAGAATAATGCTAGATTCCAGAAATGACTGGGAGCACTCCTTCCCTTTCAATTTCATCAAAGGCCTTAAGGAGTATTGATGTTAGATTCTCCCTGAAGTTCCTGTAGAACTCAGCCATGAATCCATTCAGAGCTTGGCTTTTCTTTCATTGGTAGCTTTATTGGTACTGCTTCAATTTCATTGCCTATTATTTGATTATTCATGGTTTTTAAATCTTTTTGGTTCAGTTTTGGCAATTCGTATGTATCTAGGAATCCCATCCATTTCTTCTGAACTCTCCAATTTATTGGCATACAGGTTTGCAAAGTAGTTGTTAATAATCTTTTTTATTTTGTCTGTTGAGATTTCACATTTTTCATTTCTAATTGCATGATTTGGGTCTTTTCTCTCTTTTTTTGATTAGATTGGCTAAGGATTTGCCTATTTTGTTTCTTCTTTCAGTGAACCAATTCTTTTATTTATTGATGCTTTGGGTTTTTTGTCTCAATTTTATTAATTTCTGCTCTGACCTTTATAATTTCCTTCTTCATATTACCTTTGGGTTAGGACTGTTCTTGTTTCTCGAGAACGTTGAGGTGCATTGTTAGGTTGCTTATTTGGGTTCAGTCTGTTTTTGTGATCTGGACATTCACAGCTATAAATGTCTCTCATAGAATTGCTTTCATTGTGTCCCATAAGTTCTGGTATGTCATACTGGCATTACCATTTAGTTCTAGAAACTGTCTTATTTCTTCCTTGATTTATTCCGTAATCCATTGTTTATTTAAGAGTATACTGTTTGGTTTCCATGCATTTACATAATTTCTGCATTTTGTCATTGATTTCTGACCTCATTGTACCATGATCTGACAATAGGCATGGTATAATTTCAGTTATTTTACATTTACTTAAGCTTGCTTTAATGGCTAGTATGTGGTTTGTTTTGAAGAAATTTCCACGTGCTGCTAAGAACAATGTGTATTCCGTTGTTGTGTGGATATCTATTAAGTTCATTTGTTCAAAAGTTTTATTCAACTCTGATATTTCTTTGTTGATTTTTTGTCTAGTTGGTCTGTCTATTAGACCTTTGATCATGTCTATCACTGTCTGTGATAATGGAGTATTAGGTCCTCCACAATAATTGTGTTTGTGTTTATCTGGTTTTTTATGTCCAGTAGTTCCTGTTTTATAAAGTCGGGTGCACCTTTGTTCAATGTATATATATTAATAATTGTTATTTCTTCCTGTTGAATCATTCTCTTAACCAATATGTAGTAACCTTCTTGCCTCTTTTGATCATTTTTAGCTTGAAGTCTATTTTGT